TCAGTGACGTTTTCTGGAAACACACGAGGTCACCAGCTGCTTTGAACAAAGACACAACTTCAGTGTGTCAGTGCGGTGAGGATGGAGTGACAGCGTGGACAGATTCAGACTCAATTTTAAGACTTAAGCTGTAAGAACATGTGTGTAATCCATTCACTCTGAACAGAAACATGGAGACAGAGCAGAAACGCTGCACAGACAGAGGGGCTGCCTTCTTACCGATTTCTAAGTGGATGTCAGGGTACAGCTCTTTCAACGTCTCGGCCACGCTGTCCGTCTGGATGCGAGCCAGCTGCAACAGAAGATCAACTCATTGCATTCACTGTCCTTTCACACGTATTAAATCAGCAGAACAGAGCAGATGACAGACAGTTATCATAAAAACACACTCGTCAGGCAGGATTGTTTTATCTCTGTGGAAAGGAGGTCCAGGCGGCTTTCAAATCAGATAATTCACAACCGACACTCGGGATCTGTAAGTGCAGCTTTACATTAGAGTCAAACCTGCCTGAATTTGAAGCTCCTGATTGGATAATAATGTAATACTCACCTGGCTCTTGCGGGTTCCCACTCGAATGACTCGGCTAACTTTGCCGTTTCCATCCTGCCGGAACATAAAACCAGATCAGCCACAAGATTTTACAAACACTCGCTCGCTTCCGAGATGTATTCCTCATATGTTCAATCAGCACAACACTGTTACACTTTCTGACTTAAAATACGAATGAATGATCCCTCTCTGCTGGCCTCACCCTGATGTACTTGTAAGGTCCTTCCTCCATGATCCACACTGAGCTTCTGCACTGTAGAGGCTATTGTGTGCTGTGTGTCTGGGACTGACTGCTGCGTCCTGGTAAGGAGCTTTGCTGAGGTCATATAGCTCTTGCTACTAACAGTGTCCTTTCTTACTGGACCCAGCTGACTCCTCCCCCACTAAGGACCTCCACCTCTAATATCTCTGGTTCCCACAGATAAGTGTGTCTTTCAATGAGTCCGTTACAAAAGGCAGTTTAGGAGGGTCCTGGTTACAGGGTGTGGTCACAGGGAAGAGTGTGAGTGGAAACGTTCCTCTTCAAACAGAAATATCCAGATAACACTGCTGGCTGTTTTTAATCAGGGACACACAAGGCTGAAATAAATGCAAAGATGCAAACACTGCTCAGAGTAAAGACTGATCTTAAGCGTGTCACTGGAAGTCTTTATTTCCTTGTGATCCTGGTCAGACTTTAATAGCAGTGGCCGAGTAAAACAAAGTAATACTTACGGGAGTATTTCCGTATTTGCTAATATGATGTAGTTTAAAACTAAAAATGTTGTTTAATAAAAATAAATGATAATCTTCAACAGCACACCAGATGTTTGATTTGACTGTTTCTGACTAGATGACTTATTATACACGTTTTAATTATTAATGAAAATAACTGATAATTCACTCATTTCTGTGCGCGCTACATGCAGATTACATCGTTAAATTATTATTCTTACTATTAAATCTGAATTATTTGTAACATTTTCTTTCTTTTTACTCATTTATTTTTCACCTGACCCGTGCACGTCTCAGACATAACCCTGGGTATTACGAAGGGTAAAACAAAGACTGAATTTCCAGCCGTCTGTCCGAAAACTGCGTCCAAAAATCGATCAATTTGTCATGTATTTACTCAGCGCCTTTAGAAACATACCTGTTATAGTGTAGCCGATGTTAGCAGGTGGCGAACATCCATTCGGCACCAGTGACATAACAGCCAAGTGTCATTTTAATAAAATGCTGAACTTTTAAATGCGTTCACCTCCAAGTTTATCAACGTAACTCTGAGGCAGGAGCAAAATCAGTGCTGCCCATTTCACGAGGGAGGAATATAAAAGCTTAAGTGAACTCAGTATCAGTGTCTCTGAGTGACTTCAGTCTGAGAGGGGAAAACAGTGGCGGTGGGGTTTTTCGGTGTCTATAGCTAACACGCGGAACTCTAAGGCTAGCAAATGAACAAGCAGGCAGCCTGTAAGGTTAGCGTTCAGTGTTTCGGTGCCAGCACTCTGTTTGGCGGCCTGCTTCTAACCAACGCTGATCTTAACCTTCCCAAATCAAACTAAAACGTTTAGCTTTTTACAGCTACTGTCTGTCACGTTTGACACCGCCCCCTGTCCAATGGAGAGCAGAATCCGCAGACAAGCACAAACGTCAGCCAATCAACGAGCCCTACGTGATGACGAAGTTTACACACAACGCGTGAACGCTGAATGAGCAGCAAGTCTGACAGAACAGTGAAGAAAACCTACCTGAGAACTAGCTTCTTCCGACATGTCGGTGATTCGGTTGAGTCCGCCGGTGTTGCGCGAATCAGCAGCGTGTTTTTCTGGACACAGAGACTATTAGAGACACCCAAACTCCTGGATGAGCTCCGAGCACTCGTCTCAAACAGCTCCGCGTATGAGTGAGCGTGGTGGCTATGATGTCATCGGACCGGCTAGAGGTCATTTCCTGGTCCCGCCTGACCTTTCTGCTTCTGCGGGCGTGGGTGCTCACATCCACGACTTCAAGTGTGACTATGTTGGAAGTTTAAAAGAAACAAAATTGTTATTGTTTAAGAAGGGAAAGCGCAATAATTGACTTCCGGCTGCTAAATATCCGCCGGTAGTATTAAAATGATTACTTTAAAAGCTGACGTCTTGTGTCATGTTTTTGTGATCTGACGACGTGGCCATAAAAACCTGTCTGTCAACTTTGGACTTTTATGCCAACTACCATACACACCTGTGGGCGTATCCAGTGCGTCAGTGAATTCACTGACTGGGAGTAAATATATTACACGCATATTCTTACGTTGTTACTGTATAATTTAATGGAACAGTGAAATATCTGTTGATTGAAAAACCAACATCCTCCGCAGTGAGATAAATACAGGATCGCGCGTTCCTCTTCCTTTTTTTAAATGGCGACACCTAGTGACCAAAATAAGTTACTGCAACACTGTGACGTGTGTAGTTTTTCATGCTAGGGGTCTAAAATGAGAACCATTTCCCCTCCCCCTGGGTGAAAGACGCATCGATGTGTTCACACTCCAGTGACGCAATCAGACAGCAGTATCACGTCCAAAGATACTCAGGTATGCAGACTGGAGAAAAGAGCAGGCAAGGATCAAACTACCAACCTTCTGACTGGTAGAGGACCTGCTCTACCGCCCGAGCCACAGGCATTGCGCATGACAACATGTAAACAGTATTCCCATATGAATGTTGGATTTATGTCCCTAAGAACATTCTGAATATCTTAAAGTGTTCCTGCCACCAGCATCTTGCTTACGTGTGCATTTACATTAAATGAAAAATACTGTCTGCTCAAACTGCAGCACGGTGGCACAGGGGTTAGCACTATTGCCTGAGTTCAATTCCACCATCAGGCCGGGGTCTTTCTGTGTCGAGTGTGCATGTTCTCCCCGTGTTTGCGTGGGTTCCCTCCGGGTACTCCGGCTTCCTCCCACCGTCCAAAGACATGCAGCTTGTGGGGATAGGTTAATTGGATAATCCAAATTGCCACTAGCTGTGAATGTGGGAGTGAATGAGAGTGTGAATGGTTGTCTGTCCCTGTGTGTTGGCCCTGCGACAGACTGGCGACCTGTCCAGGGTGTACCCCGCCTCTCGCCCTATGACAGCTGGGATAGGCTCCAGCGACCCTGAAAAGGTTCAGCGGAAGCGAATGGATGGATGGATGGATGGATGGATGGATGGATGCTCAAACTGTCTGCTTAAAATGTTCTACCTCATCTATAAGCTATCAAACCCATTATTTTCCATAAACTAAAATATTTCCTGCTACACTCATCCCCCATGCAAATAAAGAAGTCTGTATTCTTTTCACTACGTGATCAAAATATTAACATACTAATTAATATCAAATATAAGTGAATATTATTATGTTAATATTAACCTAATAAATCATGCTAATGAAAGGCAATTTTTTTCTTCTATATGTTTAATAATTTATTAATTATCTCCAGTAATTAATCTTCTGTCTGGGCATTAATCCCACAGTCCAAAGACATGCACAGGTTAGTTTAATCAGATAACTCTTTATTGTCCATGCACAGTCACACCTGCTAACAGGAAGTTGGAAATTGATTGTATGTGTGAATGTTGTCTGTCTGTGTGTTAGCCCTGTGACAGGGTACCCTCACCCATCAGAACTGGAATAAGCTCCAGCTTAGTCGTGGAACTGGAAAAGCAGAAGGATGGATTGTTGGAGTATGTTTACTTTTCTTTCTTTGATAATAATAATATTATTATTATTAAATATTATTATTATTATTATTATTATTATTATTATTATTATTAATAATAATAATAATAATAATAATAATAAACGGAATTCAACATTTTTGTAACTTAAACTTAAAAGACAACATTCAATTCCATAATATATCTGACTTTGTTAAACATGTTAGTCACATTCCTCACACGCTTCACAGCCATCGTTAGTTCGTTGCCCCCCGTCCGGTGACAAATGCCCAACGAGAATATTTATGTTTACAATTAAGGGTTAAAATGTAACATAAAGAACGTAAGGAGGACAACAAAGAGAAAAGACTAATTGTATCATATGTTGCATTAGACTGTGACGTGTTCACATCACGGAGACACAGATGGGATGAATTTGGTGTTTTGACGATGGTGGTGGAGAGCGCTGCCTGCACTGAGGACTGTAGCATATCATTCTTTTTATACGACCCCCTGTGTGCTTTGTGGGTGAAGACATTTTCATCCCGGAGACCAGCCCCATCAGACGTGAAACGCTATCACTCAGAACTACTCTGACAACCTCTCTGAATAATATTTATGTGTTTGCCAGGTTACTGATACGCTGATAAACGTTAAAAGTAATCGCGTGGAGGTAATTTGTGGTCAGTAGTCAGAAGTCTGAAGAAGAAGAAGAAGAAACGCTGGTGGAAGTAATCTGAGTAACTTCTTTTTGCAACAAGGCCAACATTTGGGGCCCACGTCATTGGTTTCCACGGTGGGCTGATCCAGCGGCTCTTCCGGTGGAGACGTGGCTCTGCGCTGCTGCCATATTGACGCTAACTAGCTAACAATCACACAACTAGAAGTCAGCTGTATATTCGCACCTTGCTATTCCAGAGGGACGAGGAATCACCAAAGCAAGAAACGCGAGAGACTGACGACCGTCGTGCCGTAGAGAGAGACCACAATGGTGAGTGACAGTCGAAAGTGACCATTATTTCCCTGCCTTTTATCGGGCCTAGCAGCTATCATAACATTGGCTAGTAGCTAAAGCTAGGTATGAGCAAACTAGCTTCTCCCCCCTCATGAACGAAAGAAGACAATTAATAAACGGTGCTTTTTTTATCGGAGCCACAGTGATAGCGACATGTTCAGGTGCTAAAATCGAGTAAATGAGTCGTCAAAGTTGAATTTCACCTGAGTGAAGCGCTTTAGCTGTGCAGTCCGTGCTGACGTGAACTAGCTTTGCGGGCTAGCGCTAGTTGTCTCCTGTCAGTAGCCGGATCCGTGCAACCACTGCCTGCTGTCAGATTGTAATAAGCCAGGTTAAACCGACCCCGGCTCTGCGACATACCCCAACTATACGTACAACTGTGTTATTATAGTTAGCTAGTGTCGATGACTTCGATAACCAGTTGCTGCGCGTCTTTATCGAGTTCACATCGGTGCGATCGGCTCTTCCATTTCTATTGTCAACGTGTAATCAATGCAGTTCCTCCAGTCATTTAGCACAGCCACGTAAAGCGTCCGTTTATGTCAACCATTGTTATACTCATTATATTAAACGACCCCTGATTCTTTTATAGGATCATTTTCCATTGTGCTAACATCTGCACCAGTAAGACACGCTCACCTAAGAGAAAGGCAAACAGCGGTTAGTTCATGTGCATTTAGTAATGTCCTCAAACAACTACAGCCGTGTGTAATCAGGAGAGCACCAATATATCAAATGACAAGTACTCTTGTCTGGTTTTTCTGACTTCACTGTATCGCTAAATATCAGAATCAGCTGATATTGTCCTACCTGAGTGTAGGCCACATCAGGCTAGCATTGGATAATGGCTGACTTAGACTTCTACAGTGGATATTTGAAGAGCCAACGATGTAACCTATGCAAGTGGCCAATGTTATCAGCATTTGTGTGCTGGTGCATTATGTGCTAATTACATTGTGCTCATTTCCTGGGTTTTATATGCAGTGTCACCTATGACGAAAGCAAATAAGACTTTTTGCTCCTGAGTCTCCACTCTTCAATGTGAAGCTTTTCCTCTTCTTTGTACATTTCCTCATGTTCACTCTGATAGTTTTGTCAATCTTCCTCCTGTAATTTGGTGAAATGTGTGTTCTTATTTACTATGATTATTATTCCTTATATGTAGATGATTGATAAATCAAATCAAAGACTACAGCAAAAAGTAGCAGAAATTCACAGGAGGGATCGGTGGTATTGAACAGTCACGGTTGTTTCTGGCTGTGTCAACATGACGTTACATTTTTAGGCAGGAGCACATCAGGTTAAGATGTAGGGTTTCCAAGTAGTTTGCAGTCACAGTGTACCTATGTGGTAGATTTCCTGCTGATGAATGAATCCTCAGTAAGTGTGATGAAGATCTGCAGTAGTGTAAACAGTTCTGTTTTTTTTGTTGTTTAGTTTTTTCTTGTTTCTTTGGAATAAAAGAAGAAAATATTACATGAAAAAAAAAAAAATTGAATGTTGACATTTGCTGACCTCCCTTTTGTTATTATGAGCATAGATGTTGGTCCGATTACTGCATCTTTAGTTGTAATAGTTCAGGTCTGTGGGAAACTAAAGTAGTGAAATTCCTCTGTACCCCTCAGGTGCTGTTGGCAGCGGCGGTGTGCACCAAGGCCGGCAAGGCCATCGTATCGCGGCAGTTTGTGGAAATGACCCGGACACGGATTGAGGGTCTCCTAGCTGCGTTTCCTAAACTGATGAACACGGGCAAGCAGCACACCTTTGTGGAAACAGACAGCGTTCGCTATGTGTACCAGCCACTGGAGAAGCTCTACATGGTCCTCATCACCACCAAGAACAGCAACATCCTGGAGGACCTGGAGACACTCAGACTGTTTTCCCGTGTGGTAAGCGCACACAGGCAGGCTTGGATAGAAGTCAGTTTGCAAAGAGCATTTAAGTACATGTTGTCTGACATGTCGACGAGGTGACCGGTCTGGTAACAAAGAAGAATAAATGTAGAGACGTGTCACTGTATAAACCTGTACGTTCTGAACGTTACAGTAAGTGTACATGATGGATGTAGCTTCTTTGAAACCAGCTGTGATGAACTAAGGGTGATCTCACTGTAAAAAGATGACTAGCTAGCAGCATGTAAATCACAAACATTAGCCGATGAGCATACCTTGGGTAATCCTCACACCCAAAATAACTCATATTTACATAATGGGCTCAATATTTTATTCATTATGGCCTGAAATTAGTCACCGAGCCCATAAACTCACCAGCTGTTTACCTGGAGACGCCCCCTGGTGGCCGCTGAAAAGAAAGCAAAGAAAGATTACAGACTTCTCTTTGTTGCTTTCCCACAGTTTGTTGTAGTTGGGCATGAAAGGCACGTTTGTCTTGAATTAATGAAGAAAGAAAAAATCTAATGACTGAAATGATGTTAAAGTGCGAGAAGCTGAAATGTGAGGTGGAGCGATGCTTTTGCTGCCAGCCTTTAGGCAACACGGCCACTGAACTTCATGCTGACTGAAGTGATGAAGTCAACAGTGTTAGGCTGTTAATGCAATACGACCATACGTTTGTATTACAGTAGATGTTAAGAGTCAGGCTTCAACAGCAAAAAATATAAAGGTTTAAAATACAGTTTTAAAAACACTGCATGTACAAACCAGGAAAAAAATAATAAAAAGTAATTATTGAAGTTCTTACGTTGAAACTGCCCTCAGCAAGCAGCTGCTCTAATCAGTGTTACTGCATCATGAGACTCAAAGCTCCTCTGAAGCTCTAAACACTAAATAACAGCAGAGGACAAAACACTGAAGATGTCTTTGTAGCCTAGCAACAACACGTGTTAGGAAAAAGCGCTCTGAGTGTGAGTCCACGTTTCCTTCCAGTGCAGGAAGCACTGCCTGTGGACACACAGCATTACGCCACATTTTCTTATTCATCACTGTGTTTAAAAGGCCACTGTGGGCCTTGTTTACCTACAGTTACTGTTCAGCACAAAGGCCCTGTCTCCAATAAGGAGAAACAGCTGTAACACCTGGGTCCCTGTTGCTGTCTGTTTGATAGGCCAGCCAGTATCCATGCGGTAAACATGTCACTGTTGGCATATATCATTTTTGCATCCTCTGCTGCGAACTGTGAGGACACGGTAAGAAGGAAATCTACATACAGATGTCAGTTTTTCATTGTGGGGAAAAGCTGTGAATCCAATTGATGCTTTGTTGTATTCAGTCACATGTTGTTGATGGTGATAGAAGTGGGGCAGATGATACCAGTTAATCTGTATGGAAGCTGGTGTGCAAATGAAGATTAGGTTCTGGGAATAATGGGTAAATAAATGGTGTTAGTAAAGTCTGTCAGCAAGAACTAGGCTACAGTGGTGCTTAATGTGTCCTTATTGTATCCTTATCCATTAGTTTAAATGAATCGCTCCTCCCGTCTGTTCCAGATCCCAGAGTACTGTCGTGTGCTGGAGGAGAGTGAAATATCGGAGCACTGTTTCGATCTGATCTTCGCCTTCGATGAGATCGTTGCACTGGGCTATAGAGAGAACGTCAACTTGGCTCAGATCCGCACCTTCACAGAGATGGACTCCCATGAGGAGAAGGTGTTCCGCGCCGTCAGGGAGGTGAGATGTGGCTCTGCCTGCCTCGTTGGATTCCTGTTGAATTATTCAGGCAAATTAGAAAGAAGCACATGGAAAGTTATATTACACAATTATTATTTGTCTTGTAAAAGAAACAAAATGCAACAATTGGAGTTTAGTGATTTTTCAAAGCTTAATAGAAGGAGGGAGATGAAGGAGAATATGAGACGTACACACTGTACAGGCTAAGCAAAGTGTGATGAACCCGCATGGTTGACAACACAGCTGCACTGTCAGTATTTAAAATTTAACACAGTCCTATATTTTCCCTCCTTCAGAGTAACTGTCAGCTGTCGTGCTGTGACTGTATTAGCGCTGAGCGTGCTGTTCTGATCCCTGCTCACTTTCTTTTGTAATCCTACAGACTCAGGAGCGCGAGGCCAAGGCAGAGATGAGGAGGAAGGCCAAGGAACTGCAGCAGGCCAGGAGGGACGCTGAGCGCTCCGGGAAGAAGGTGCCAGCTTTTGGCGGGTTTGGCAGCGCTGGCATGACCAGTGTGTCCTCAGGGACCATCATCACAGACACCATCATCGAGCCAGAGAAGCCCAAGATCACAGCGGCTCCAGTCAGGTACAACTCAAGTTTGTATGGGAAGATTTTGTTGTGGTTGCACAAACAGTGGACTGATTAGGCTGATGGGACATGGTGTTTGTTTCTGTTCAGACCAAGTGGACCCAGTAAGGCTCTGAAACTGGGGCTAAAGGGAAAGAGGTGGACAATTTTGTTGACAAGCTCAAGTCTGAGGGTGAAACCATCATGCCCACCACAGGAAAGAGGGGATCCGATGTTTCGAAAGTTCTGCCCCCACCAGTCAACATGGAGAGGTATGCCCTCATCATTCAGTGCTGTGTATTCTTCTGGGACTGGCTGTTTTCATCAGGCTGTTGCAGTAACGACATCTGAACTGTAATCACGACACATTTATTTACTTATTCTTCTCATTTGTGGCAATCCAATACTTTTACCTTAAATATATAAGTTTCCCTGTTAAAGTCAAATAACAGAAGGATAAAGGATGATGTCATTACAGGTCGAGCTTGGCATCAGTGCGCCCTCACCTAGTTGTAAAACTGGTTGCGTGTACATTAATTAATCTCCTGCTTTAATGCACCACCCAGTTAGTGACACAAAACAAACACACCCACAGTGTGACAGGTGCATGCTGGGTACAGGTGTGTGCTGGGTGCGGTTAACAGGCTCATAGATGTCTCTCAGTGGATCCTAAACTTATAATTGTTATAATTGTATTATAACTTAATTCTAACATTGTAACAATGTAACATTTTCATAAGTGAGGCTTTTTAATTTGTAACAAAGTGTCCAACAGTGCAGCACGCCTCACAGACAGGCTGCTTACAGACAGGTGAAGAAAACGGACGGTTACAAATCTCCTGTTTCTCAGCGCATGTGTGCGTGCGTGTCTCTCACTGGTGTAACTTCAACTTCATGCTAAGATTCAGTCACAGTGTCATCTCAGTGCTGCTTTCTTAAAGTGTGTGTGGGTGATTTGACCTGCAGTGTGCATCTGCGTGTGGAGGAGAAGATCACGTTGACCTGTGGCCGTGATGGCGGCCTACAGAACATGGAGGTGCTGGGTATGGTGACGCTCCGAGTCACAGACGACAAATATGGACGCATCCGCCTGATTATCAATAACAATGATGGCAAAGGATTGCAACTGCAGGTTGGTTTATCACACACACGTGTGCAGCAGACAGTGCTCCACTGTGTATGTTATGTTAAACACATAACTCAGTTTTATTTACATTACATTTGTTTTTAACCATAATCGTAATTTTGAAGTGCGTTTGGATTTCAGCTGTGTACCTGAACGTTGAAGCTACAGTTATATGAGGAGTCTATATCCACGGTCCCCTATTTACAGGGGCTCAAACACAATCCAGCAAACAAAGATAATTATTATGTTTTAAGAAATATTTCTGTGAAAGCACACAAACTATGTTAAACGCTGTCACGAGCATGCCAGAGCAGCAGGTGGCGCTATAAGCCCGCATTCAGAAAACACAGAAGTGAGCAGTGTAATGTTAAAAATGAGATGAAGGCAGACACAGCAGTGTTTTTCCTGGTCGACAGGTAAACACAGAAATTCCTTTCAGGTTTGGATGACTGCATGTTTTTGGTTTACAGCAGCTTGCAAATGCAAATGTCCCTCTTCAAAGCAATTCCAGAGACTTAAGCTCTTCACTTTGTTAAGAAATGATGAAATGGTAAGAAGAGCGTAAGCCTCTGAGTCTGTTCTGTTTAAAGTGACCCAGGCTGTTTTGCTGTGATGTTTGACAGTAAAAGATCTTTATTGAAACGCGTCTCGCCCTCTGTTTCTTAGACACATCCTAATGTGGACAAGAAGTTGTTCACAGCTGAGTCTGTGATTGGCCTGAAGAACCCGGAGAAGTCCTTCCCTCTTAACAATGATGTGGGTGTGCTGAAGTGGAGACTACAAACCACAGACGAGTCCCTCATACCTCTAACCAGTACGTCCTGATGTCTGCAGCTCCTGTCCTCTTTAAGAAAGCACACTGACAGTGGTAGTAATGTTTGTTTCCCACAGCACAGGATGGCATCTGTAGACAGTGTTTAGCCGTACATGTGTGCCCAGTCTGAGCTATTCGGGTTGATGTATGACAAATACAAGCGTCGCATATCCTCAGTGAAGAAGTTAAATTAGCACGCTGTGATTTCTGCCTAAATGTGAATATTTAGTTAGCTGAGTAGCTGCGTAATGATTTCATTAGATAATGGGAGCCTTGATGTTAGATGGCTGTGTGGGAAATGTTGAAGATTGCCACTGGCACTTATTATCATTACCAGGGTTTTAATAGTTTTGCAATTTTCATTAGTTTTTATTTTTATTTAGTTTTGACTTCAGATTTTCAATTTTATATCAGTTTTAATTAGTTTTTATCATTTGTTTGCTAGTTTAGTTTTTATTTTTTGAAAATTCTTAGTTTCAGTTTAGTTTTGATTAGTTTCAGTTATAGTTTTAGTCGTGTTTGCAATAATTAAGTGTAACAAAATCCCAGTTTCATCACATCAGTCATGCTCTTCTGCTCATCCTTGGGTATGTTGCTATTCCAGCTACCTGCACCCTGCACAGGTCGCCTGTCTGTCGCAGGGCTAACATGCAGAGACAGACAACTCACATTCCCACCTATGGGTTCTTTAAATAAATAAATAAATAAATTAGGGCAGATGAACAACCATTGATACCAGGCAACTATAAAATGTATATCTTGGCCCCAATGAGACTATTAACTCTCGCAGCACCGTGTGTTCGTAATTTTGGTTCAAGTGAATTGATAAACTCTTTGAAGGCAATTGACTCACACAGTTATGTAGATATCTCTGTCCTGTTGTCTCGGGATGCATCACGCTGCCTTGCCTGGTGTTAGCTTCTGTTTCTGGGGATGAGGGTTGAGTGTGCTCCCTTCTCAAGGTAAGCTAGGTTAGCCTTCTGGTGTGAGCTTTTCAAGCGCACTTTAAGGTTTGTGGGATTTTTTTTTCACTTTTTGTCCCTCATAATTTGTCTCTTTCCACTACAAGACACTTGCTTTATCCAAACACAGTCATATTCAAAGTAATCCCAAATTGGACTCTGGCGCTTTCTCCCGACTTTTCCTGACATGATTCTGCGCGTGGACGCAGCAACACAGATGACTCGACTAACGTGCTGCCACCTGCTGGCATAATGAGACACAGCAAGAAAAAAAAATCTGGAAACGAAACTTCTTTTTCACCCTTGACTATTGTATGACACGCACACATCAATGAAACTAAACACATTTTTGCTATAAATTCAGTTAATTTTAGTTTTGTGAACACTCATTACTGTTTTAGTTAGTTTTCCTTTTTTGTTTTTATTTTTATTTCCATTAACGAAAATGTTTTTTCACTTCTAGTTTTCGTTATTTCGTTAGTTTTCATTAACGATAACAACCTTGATCATTACTGGCATGGCTGTAATACTGCAGTAAATATTGCGCTGCAACCTGACCGACTCTTCCTCCTCCTCACTGCAACCTGACCGACTCTTCCTCCTCCTCACTGTAACCTGACCGACTCTTCCTCCTCCTCACTGCAACCTGACCGACTCTTCCTCCTCCTCACTGTAACCTGACCGACTCTTCCTCCTCCTCACTGCAACCTGACCGACTCTTCCTCCTCCTCACTGTAACCTGACCGACTCTTATTCCTCCTCACTGCAACCTGACCGACTCTTCCTCCTCCTCACTGCAACCTGACCAACTCTTCCTCCTCACTGTAACCTGACCGACTCTTCCTCCTCCTCACTGCAACCTGACCGACTCTTCCTCCTCCTCACTGCAACCTGACCAACTCTTCCTCCTCCTCACTGCAACCTGACCGACTCTTCCTCCTCCTCACTGCACCTGACCGACTCTTCCTCCTCCTCACTGCAACCTGACCGACTCTTCCTCCTCCTCACTGTAACCTGACCGACTCTTCCTCCTCCTCACTGCAACCTGACCGACTCTTCCTCCTCACTCTTCCTCCTCACTGTAACCTGACCGACTCTTCCTCCTCACTGTAACCTGACCGACTCTTCCTCCTCACTGTAACCTGACCGACTCTTCCTCCTCCTCACTGCAACCTGACCGACTCTTCCTCCTCCTCACTGCAACCTGACCGACTCTTCCTCCTCCTCACTGCAACCTGACCGACTCTTCCTCCTCCTCACTGTAACTGACCGACTTTCCTCCTCCTCACTGTAACCTGACCGACTCTTCCTCCTCACTGTAACCTGACCGACTCTTCCTCCTCACTGCAACCTGACCGACTCTTCCTCCTCCTCACTGCAACCTGACCGACTCTTCCTCCTCCTCACTGCAACCTGACCGACTCTTCCTCCTCCTCACTGTAACCTGACCGACTCTTCCTCCTCCTCACTGTAACCTGACCGACTCTTCCTCCTCCTCACTGTAACCTGACCGACTCTTCCTCCTCCTCACTGCAACCTGACCGACTCTTCCTCCTCCTCACTGCAACCTGACCGACTCTTCCTCCTCCTCACTGTAACCTGACCGACTCTTCCTCCTCCTCACTGTAACCTGACCGACTCTTCCTCCTCCTCACTGTAACCTGACCGACTCTTCCTCCTCCTCACTGTAACCTGACCGACTCTTCCTCCTCACAGTAAACTGCTGGCCGTCAGAGAGTGGGACTGGCTGTGATGTCAACATTGAATATGAGCTGCAGGAGGAGAACCTTGAGCTCAATGACGTGGTCATCAGCATCCCTGTACCGTACGTACTTATTCACAAAATGTGTATAAGAAGAAAACTGTTACTCTGTCACATCCCTGTCAGTCCTGTGTATGACCGACATTCCCGGTGCTCCTCAGGTCTGGAGTGGGAGCTCCGGTGATCGGTGATCTGGATGGAGAGTACAAACACGACAGCAGGCGAAACATCCTCGAGTGGTGCCTACCTGTCATTGATGCCAACAACAAGACGGGCAGCCTGGAATTCAGCATCGCTGGGCAGCCCAATGACTTCTTTCCTGTCAGCCTGTCCTTTGTGTCTAAGCGCAACTACTGCGACATCCAGGTGGGTTGCATATGATGGAGGCTGACTTCAGTGTGAGGGACAGAAGCTCTGTTTAACTGAGGAGCACATTTTCCACAGAAGGTCTTCGGTTCTCTAAAGTGAATCGGCCTTTAGTTTAATACGTGACAAACGTCAGTAACTTCATAATTCAGTTTTATTTATATAGAAGCAAAGAACAAGTCCCCTCAGGGTGCTTTTAAAGTAAAGAGCCTACAATAACAGGGAGAATACCCCAACAATCACTGTGCTGTGAGCAAACGCTTGGTGACAGTTGGAAGGGAAGAAACCTCCAGCAGACCCAGGCTCAGGGAGCAGCGGCCATCTTCCGCGAGTGGTTGGGGGTGAGGGGAGGAAGATGGGAAGAGATCATTAATAACTGGGACTGAGTGCCCCTGGGATTTGGGACAAAACACATGTTGTCCACATAAGACTGTTTTGTTACATAGTAAGGCAGGCTAATGTTAGCTGTTGGCTAACATTAGCCTGCCCCAAAAAGTCACTCTGTGTTTTGTTTGCTTGTAACTAAAGAAACAAAACAATCCAAGTTTTCAGTGGATCAAAAAGCTGAATGGATGTTTAAGAGGCCACAGAGTGTGGCATGAGCTTAAAATCCAGATGACAGTGCTGTGTGTTCGTCCCTGTGATAGACGGAGTAGCTGCTGCTAACAGACTCGTGTTTCTCTGTCCACAGGTTACCAAAGTGACTCACGTAGACGACGACAGCTCCATTAGATTCTCTTCAGAAACCTCCTTTGTCGTCGACAATATGAAATCCTGTAAACCTGTTCAAAGAAAAAAAATTGAAAAAACAAAATCACCAACAAAAAAAAGTCTAAATCTATGCTTCACAGAAAGATTGAAGATCTCTCGCCTGCCCACCCTGCATACACTATGAGACTGTGAACATCGACAGGACTCAGTCAGCCTGGGGCGAGGCCTCTTCCTGTGGTGGAGCGTCGCAGCGGTGGTGTATTTATATGTTTGTATGAGAGGATCATCTATATATAGAGTTAATTGAACCGGCAAACACACACACACACACACAAACACACACACACAGAGCAAACTTGTGTCCGCCAAGCAGAACTGTAAATGGGACAAAGTAGAGGATGACTGCAGGGGTGCAGGAGAGCCTAGCGGTCAGGTAAACCCTGGCGGTAGACCGGGCCACTACACTGAGCGCTGGTTGTTTAACTGCCCACCCTGGTGTTCATGCATCCTCCACAACGCTCGCTCGCCGGGATTCTCGCTCTTTCTTTTCACGTTTTCTAAACTGCAGAATAGTAGCTGTCTCAGTCGTTATAAGCCTGACTTTGTTTAATCACTAAACTGTTGTGATCTGATGTCTTGGTGTCGTTCTTCATTCAGCTTCTTTTGTTTCTCTCTCGTGCTTTGAATTTTGTTTCTCCCCAGATTTCTGTACACGTGCTTAAAAAGGAAAACATGGCTGTACTCAGTATGTCGCCTGTACTGTGTGAGGTCATCATCAGCAAAGTTCTCCTTTTATGTTCAACGTGGATACATTTTTTACTGTTTGCTGTATGTTTTGATTGTTTGCCACTAATCTGGAGGTTGACAGTAAAGAGCAGGATTTGTGAGGGACTCTCGGCTGCGCTGTTACCAAACAGCAAATACATTTGACTGTTGCATCTGGAGAAAATGGTTTTTTTTTTTTTTATGGTAACACCATTACAGCCACTCCTTATTTTGTCAAGAACAGACTGTGTGTTAACCTCTGGTCCATTTAAGTCCACCTCTCAGCTATCAGATATCCAAAAACAGGACTTTGAAGAAAAGCCCAGAAACAACACCCCAGCCCTAATCTACCATCCCACAGGAGCGCTCACGTCTCCGATGGCAGTGGGTGCAAGTTGGCACACAGATCAGAGGCTGCCAGCCTGATGCTCCACTCGCTGCGCTCACATCCCAGCTCAGCTCTTCTGTTCTCACAGTCATCCTTTACTTTATTATTCACCGTAATGAGTTTGTCTTCATGGGTTTTTTCCTTTTTTCCCCAAATTTGTACTCACCAAATTGTCGCAGTGGTTTCGTAGACGTGAGGTGGAAGTTGACGACACGCAGCGTTTTTAACTACATTACTGAAGGGGAATCTTGACATTCCAGTGTACAATTAGAAAAAAAGAATCTTAATGGAATAAAATGTATTATGGAAAATGTAAGTCTGACTTGGGTTTTTGTTTCAGTGGGCCTGTCATAATTAGGTCGTTGTGTGAAGAAGAAATCGTGTTTGTCCTGTTTGTGTTGTAGTGCTCACTGCGTTGGTTACTGTGTGAAACAGAAATAGCCAGCACGCCTGTTATTATCAACAATCAGATTAACCACACCCACTCAGTCTGCTGGCATTTGAGGCGTTTTTCTCCTGATGACCAATGTTTGCCTCTAAGCCCCAGCTGCTCTGATCCCACAGGACTTCACTCATCAGGATCATGAGTGGGGGTCACAGCAGCTTCTGCGTGGCTTTTTATTGAGTGGTTGTTACTGTTCCTATCAGCTGGAGGCAGCATCAACAACACATTTTCACCCGGAGCGCTGCTGCTCACTGGATCTTCTCTCTTGTAGAGCTGGTTGTGTGGAACATCCAGTAGATGAGTAGTTTGAGACCAGGCTGCCTGGCTCCAGCAGCTGTGCCGTCAATCTCCTCATTCTGATGCTCAGTGTGAACTTCAGCAGGTCATGTGTCCTCACACGCTCCTCGCCTGTGCAAAGGAGAGACAACATTATATACATTGAATAAAATAAAACAATCTGGAAATTGACGTTGTGCGAGTGGGTGTTAAAGAGTCGAGTGCTGTGGTGAAGGTGAGAAGCGTCAGGCTGGGGTGTGTTAAGAACGAGTCCTGTCTCGGTCACTTATGCAGGGGGTTCTGGTTTAGGAGGGATGGCCTGAGCATAGAAGCTCCTCTTCAGCCTCTGTTTTGCCCAGATGTGTGGAACCTTCTGCCTGATTGCAGAAGCTGGAACAGTTCACTGCTGGGATGGGACGGGTCCTTCAGTATCTGAGCTGCTCTGGTCCAGCATCTCCTCGTGCAGATGTCCTGTAGGGAGGGGAGCAGCCCTGCAGCAGCGTTCTGCTGTACGGGTCACTCTCTGAAGAGCTTTTTTGTCCTTGACACAGCTGTTTCCATACCAGGATGTGATGTTCTGTGTGAGGATGCTCTCCACAGCACCTGCATAGAAAGTCCTGAGGATCACTGGAGAGAACCTGAACTTCTTCAGTTGTCGGAGATGATACAGGCGCTGCCTAGCCTTCTTGGACTGGACCTGAATGTAGGCAGACCATGTCAGGTCTGAGGAGATGTGGACATCTGTGCACCCTCTCCACTGGAGCTCCACTGATGATAATGGGCTTGTGGTCTCTGTGCTGACTCCTCCTGAAGTCCACCACCAGCTCCTTGTTCTTGCCAACGTTCAGTTGGAGGCGGTTATCCTGGCACCACGATGCCAGATTCTTCACTTCCTCCATGTAGGCCGCCTCGTTGTTAGAGATGGCGCCCAACATCACCGTGTCATCAGCAAACTTCACAGTGGTGTTGGAGCCATGGCCAATATAATTATTAAAACTAATGATTGATGGTAAAGATCCAGAGCATGGCCTGTACAGTGACGCATCACACAGCCTGCAAATGTGTTTGTGCTTCAACAATGGTTTAAAAGTTGAATGCAGCAGTTGTATTTGTAAGTGAGCACAAATCATCTGCAGCACTGGGCCGAGTCTACGAGGTTCTGTGTAAGATTCTGTTATATTAGCACGAGAGGTGGTTTCTTTAAAACAAACCTGATTCTTTTCTGCTTTGCTCATTTTTCTCCTGATCAGGCCTTTGTTTGTAAATGTACATGTAAGCCAACACAAGTCAGTTTGTGTGTAGAAAACAGATTTACAGGCTGAGCGTATCATGGATGGCCAGCATGTTTCCTCCACTGAGATGTATTAAAAGCTCTGGAAACATCGATACAGTTTCCCTCAGTGGTCCAAGGAACGGTGAAGCAAAGTAAAACTGCCACATTACAGGATGTTCATGCAAAGCTGAGAGCCGGTACTGCCACCAGACTCCACTAAAGTCTGTCCATCGCAGAACTCTGAGTCCAGCAGACACACTGATGCTGTGTTTGGATCATATGTTTGTCCTTAAAAACCTTTACAGATGGAAACGTGCCCGCTAAGTTTCAGGAGCTCGTTCTGCGTCTGACTGCGTTGTGTTGACAGACGAAGATGAACAGCTGTGAAGATGAAGTCTGATGTTGAGCTGCTGTGGGCAGCAGATGGGTAAATGTTGGGGAGTGGGGCGGTGTTTGAGAGAGCTTACCACCCGCCTTATTTAGCCTGTGGGGCGTTGTTGGGGGCGGGGGTGTTAATAGTGGCCCTCCAGTCATTAGGAGGAGGGTGTGTCTGTTTTCCGAGTGAATGAGCTGATAAGCTCTGCAGAAGGTTTGAGGGGAGAGCAGCACTGTTGTCTGTGGCGTGTTAAACACAGCCGGCAGACGGACGCCTCGCTGCAGAGCACGCTGGGATTCTTTTGGATCTTCTGGCTGGAGTTTCGGTGGATTTTCCTGAATGGAGGCTGGAATTCTCTAACCCTTAGTTTCGTTTAATTTCACTTGGAGTAACGATGCTCAAGAAAGTACGATTCAAGGTAGGAGACTCCTGCAGTTTGTATGTTTCGGTTAAAGCTCGTTGAGGCTTTGTGCAAATACTTTCTTCTTCTTGAATAATTGATACATGACTGTTTACATATCTAGATATTTGTCATGGACACAACCTGCTCCCAGTCTTCACATTCTTCCAACTTAGTCTGTTCCTGCGTCAGGTTTAAACATTTCACTGCTGGGAGCTCTTCTGCCTCACAGGAAACCACGAGCTTAACTTTCCAAGTTTATTTGGCCATCTTAACAGCCACCATGTTGCACAGGGTTAGGGGTTGCGAATATTATAGCAAAGAGCCGCACAGAGAAAGAGCGGCGTTCACAGAAAACTCCTGAGTAAGAAAGACAGCAGAGCCTGACATCAAGATCATAATGGTCTTTATGAAGCTCAGTCCATCGCCCTGTGTCCACATCCCCTGAGCCACACAGAGGAACTCCTCATCCGCAGGCTTTGTGTCCCTTTCAAGAGAGCCTGCGACTGAGCCGACCTGTGCAGGGCCTCTGGTGGCTCTTCATCAGCAGCGGCAGCGCAGGCTGCAGTTCCGTCTGTGTGGTGGTGGCATGGAGGTGATAATTACAGCACAGGGACGGGAACAGGAGGAGCTGCAGCCGCTGGCTGTCACCCGCTTTTAATACGAAGGTGTAAACAAATCGCATCAGTGTTTGCCATGAGCGCTGTGCTTCTCAAGACTCACTGAAGGCACACCTGTAATCAAACAGCCTCCGCAGAGTCTGAAACCTTCTTCATTTTCTTTGCTTTGAGCCACCAGGTGAATCCACCAGTGTGCAGCCTGTGGATCCAGCACGTCACCTGCACGTTTTTATTTATGTTCTTTCAAAGGCCGTCACCGCTGTGCATAAAATCCAACAAATACAATCAGCTCTTTCAAACTGGCCAAGTTTCTCTCAGACGCAATGTTTGGCCTCCTCTTTGGCTCACTTGGCACTGCATTAGAATTAGGCAACTTCCCCGACACCATGACACCGTCGGGCCGAGAGCTGCTGGCAGGCAGGCCTTTCACAGTGCTACCACTTTCTCTCTTCTTTGGCTGGTGGGTCGTCTCCCCTGGTGGTTACGATTTGATGAGGAAATGAGCAAATACAAAGTAGTGCGAAAACTATTGTCGTTGTCACCAGAGCCTCGCAGAGCTGGAATATTATAGTTCAGGAATCTGCGAACCTGGAAAACCAACTAAAATAAATCTCCTTAGTTTGGTAAAAACTCTATTCATCAGTACATGATTATTAAAACTCTGGATGTT